TACATGCAAGTGTGTTTGATTTATGGACCAAATTTTCAGATCAAGTTTATGGACCAAGTTAATTTAATTAATAAACTAATTATATAAAACTATTAATGCACTACAATTAAACTGGTTATATGCCTTTACTTATAAAAAATAAAAAACTTATTTAAAAAAATACCAGGCTTAAGGCATTTATTTTTTATGCAGGCCATACACACAGGAGTGAAATGGTTAAGACCCCTCCCCCTACAAACACACACACATACACAGACAGGCAAAGACAGCAGGCTCAGATTGAGCAAGACCACATTCAAACAAACATATCTGACTTTCTGTGGGTCCTAGCTAATGAGTGTCAATTAGAAAGTTGTCCGGCTCGAGGAGTACAATATACATACCGATTTTTGTAACTGTAGATAAAACTAACAACCCCACTTTTGTCAAAAGGTGGCGCTACTGAGCCCTCACCACGCCCGTTTCTGAAACTTTGCACGTGTCTACTGGCTAATAAATGTGATGTGTCTGTCGAGTTTCATGCAATTTCAAGCATGCTAAGGGTCTCAAAAGCATCCTAAAAGAATGGTAACGTTTGATGCGTCGCCACGGCAACAGTTTCAAAGATATCAAGAATCCATTCACAGGTCTACATCTGCCGTATGTTTACATTATACAGATGAAGTTTGAAGCAAATCGGGTAAAAATAAAAGGGTGATATCAAAGCATTTTGAAAGTGACACACTTCCTGCTGCCAGTTGGTGGCGCTATAACTTTGACTCACAATAGTCACATCCATGTGATCGTCCTCTTACAGCGAACACACTGCTGAAGTTTCATCAAGATCAGTTAATGTATGCTGAAGTTATAACACACTTCCTGTTTCACGTTTCTCGCCATGATTTCGTTTCCTCGCCACGGCCAAACCGTTCGAGATATCAAAAATCCCCTCGCAAACTTTCATCCTCAATGTCTTGACTTCATGCTGACCGAGTTTTGTCGAATTTGGATCAAAGCTCTAGGAGGAGTATTTAAATTCCATTGCGAGCGTTTTACAAACAAACCTCAATAGCCGACTTCCTGTTGGGCTGGGGTAAAAAGTAAAAGCGCGAGGTATAGATGAAACGATGAGATCAACATGTGCACCGAGTTTCATATTATTACATACAAACGTGTTTGAGTTATGGACCAAGTGTTCGGACCCCGTTCCAGGGGGCGCTGACGAGCCCCCCTGCCACGCCCGGGTACCAGCTTCAGCCCGGCTCTGATGGCCGCGGGTTCTGACCCGTGCAAAGTTTCAAGAGTTTTCGAGCACGTTAAGGGCCCCAAAAATGCCAAAAGGTTAAAAAATAAATAAGAAAAATAATAAAAAAATAATAAATATAGCTGCGAGCAGCGATTGCGGGCCCAAGCCGGTGGCACCGCAACCCCGATGCCTTTAGTTACCCAAAGGCACCGGGATGGTGGTACCGCCGGCTTTGGCCCTTTATCGCTGCTCACAGCTATATTTATATTTAATATAAAGCCGGTGGCACCGCCACCTTGGTGCCTTTAGGGTTATTCTGTACGACGTGTAAAAACGTAACCCCCGCTTTGACTATCAAAAAGAAGTGTATTGTAGAGCTTGCATCAATGCGGACTCGATGCGCTGTGCGCTGTAACTCCATGTGGCTTTAAGCGCATCATTCTCCACTCGGGATGCGCATAAGCGTTTTGTGCCACACTGTACTGAGCCTTTCATATCATAATGCAGTGACGCAATGACAGATTATTAATTGCCTTTCTTGTTCTGTTCATCTATTATATGTTGATAATAGATAGGACAGAGCACTAAAAACCTCAAACAAAGCACTAAAAACTTAAGCTGTTTGCTGTGTAGTCTGAGAATGAGCTGTTTGATTTGCACCCTCTTCCTCTTCACTGTCCTCCATAAAAACCAGCTATCCAGGTCCATGTTGTTCTAGAAAGTTTGTATGTTGCTGCCTCAATTAACATCTCTGCTATACATTTAAAACATGGCTATATCTAAAATAATTTATCTTTTTGATTTTTGTTATCTTGTTTTTCATGAATATTTTACAACAATACAAAGAGCAATGTGTATTTTCCATAATATAGTTTGTAATGGCTTTTTTTGTCATAGATTATAATCATATATTTTTTGGATTTGTTATTTATCTTTATAATGAAGTTGTCTGTATTAAGTAGATTGTGTTTAACACACACAAGAGTGATTTATTAGTTCAACACATAGTTATAGAAATTCTACTTTATCTAAAAAAAACCCTGCACTTTATACACACACACACACACACACACACACACACACACACACACACACACACACACACACACACACACACACACACACACACACACACACACACACACATAAATACATGTAAATAAAAATCCAAAAAAAAAAAAACATCAAATGTGTTTTTAGTCAGAGTATTATTTTATACAGAAACAAATATTTGTAATTCAGATAAGAATGAAGTTAGTGTTTTAAAAATCTTAAGGAAAACAAATATATTGAAATATAGCACATGAATTTTAAATTCATTCAACTTCAATTACAAATACAATCTTACTTTTATTTAAAGCAAACTATACATTTAAAAGATGGGGGTTATATGCCTATTTTGTCATTTAAAAATATTGTTATGCAAAATTGTTATGCAAAAAGACAAGGACTTAGAGACAAGGACTTGTAGGAAAAATCGCAGCCAGCCACACACACACACACACATAAACACAGACAACAGCCCTCCCCTCCCCACACAGACACACACACCCACACACACACACACAGAGAGAGAGAGAGAGAGAGACAGAGAGAGAGAGAGAGAGAGAGAGAGAGAGAGAGAGAATCGCAGGGGAAATAAATCCATTCAAACTACAATATCTGACTTTCTGTTGCTCAGAGCGAATGACTTTAAATTGGAAAGTTGATCGGCTTGACGAGAACAATATACGTGGTAAGTTTTGTAACTGTAGGTAAATTGAGCAAAGTTATAACACACTTTATGTGTCCTTTTTTAGTCATAAAATTCATTTCCTCGCCACGGCCAGACCGTTCGAGATATCAAAAATCCGTCCGGAATTGAGCATCCTCAATGTCTTGACTTCATGCACACCGAGTTTGGTTGTGATTGGTAAACACATGCATTGTGATTTGATGTATTTCTCCTAGGACAATTATTCAAACAACCCATAATTCATAATTCATAAATAACTTCCATTTGAACTGTCATAAAACTTAGAGCACGAAAGTTGTTTGGCCTGATGTGATCTATAATTGTACCGAGTTTCATATTAATTCATGCAAGTGTGTTTGATTTATGGACAAATGTTCGAATCCCAGTCCAGGGGGCGCTGTCGAGCCGCCCTGCCACGCCCGGTTACCAGCTTCAGCCCGGCCCTGATGGCCATGGGTTCTGACCCGTGTGCAAAGTTTCAAGAGTTTTCGAGGATGTTAAGGCCCCCGAAAATGCCAGAGAAGTCGCACACAGCAAATAAAGGGTTAAAATTAACCTGACAGGCGCCCCTCCTCTCACTCACACAGAGGGACACTGAGACACTGGCAAAATTCTGAGATTTTCTCTACATTCAAACAAACATATCTGACTTTCTGTGGGTCCTAGCTAATGAGTGTCAATTAGAAAGTTGTCCGGCTCGAGGAGTACAATATACATACCGATTTTTGTAACTGTAGATAAAACTAACAACCCCACTTTTGTCAAAAGGTGGCGCTACTGAGCCCTCACCACGCCCGTTTCTGAAACTTTGCACATGTCTACTGGCTAATAAATGTGATGTGTCTGTCGAGTTTCATGCAATTTGAAGCATGCTAAGGGTCTCAAAAGCATCCTAAAAGAATGGTAAAGTTTGATGCGTCCACGGCAACAGTTTCAAAGATATCAAGAATCCATTCACAGGTCTACATCTGCCGTATGTTTACATTATACAGATGAAGTTTGAAGCAAATCGGGTAAAAATAAAAGGGTGATATCAAAGCATTTTGAAAGTGACACACTTCCTGCTGCCAGTTGGTGGCGCTATAACTTTGACTCACAATAGTCACATCCATGTGATCGTCCTCTTACAGCGAACACACTGCTGAAGTTTCATCAAGATCAGTTAATGTATGCTGAAGTTATTAATACACTTCCTGTTTTCACGTTTCTGCCATGATTTTGTTTCCTCGCCACGGCCAAACCGTTCGAGATATCAAAATCCCCTCGCAAACTTTTTCATCCTCAATGTCTGACTTCACGCTGACCGAGTTTCGTCGAATTTGGATCAAAGCTCTAGGAGGAGTATTGACATTCCATTGCGAGCGTTTTACAAACAAACCTCAAATAGCCGACTTCCTGTTGGGCTGGGTAAAAAGTTAGCAGCGCGAGTATAGATGAAACGATGA